ACAGAATGATTTATCTCCTCTATCATCCTCACAGAGCACACATCACACCCCACGCTCCACACTCCACTTTAACACATTTCAAACAACACACTGATCACACTTCTATGATCAGTTTAATGGCCCAGCCCTCTATTTATCATCTGTGGGTGTTGGTTCGTATGAATGCATGCACATCTCAGCAGCAGCAAGAGGAAGCTCTTTTGGCAAGTGCATTGTACTCAGATGGGTATCTGCAGCGAGCAGCTCCACACTCTGCACAGTGCTGGGAACAGTAAATACTACGTCACTAATTTCCATAGCCACTGATGTGGCCTGCGATAGCAACAAAAGGACCGAAGTGTGGGAGGCTGATACTGTACCTGGAGACAAACACACTCACAGTTACAGCCGTAATTTTTTTTTATGATTCACATTCCTATTGTATTCCACAGAGGGACACACATTTAATTTATCTTGTGGAGTTTTGCACTATTCGTGTTCACATATAAAAGCTATAACTCTCAAATGCTATATTATATACTACTGTATACAGAATACAAATATATAAAACGCAGTCTTCTAAAAAGATCATTTGCATGCAGAAAAAAAAAATCCACAGTTGGTCCATTACAGCAAACAATAAAAAGTGTATTTAAATGATCACTACCAACTTGTTTTTTCTTACTCACTATAGATGTCAATGCTTATAGGGTAGTATTATTACCAGCATATTCTGAATAAAACTTTATTCTAAGTTGATTATAAATATGTGTTCTAAATATCCAGATCATTACAACAATTCCAGAGTTGAATACATGCATTGTGCTATTAAATATATGGGATTATATGAGTAATTTTTCTAAATAAATACAGTATAAACTATTGAAAGAGAAGTACTTATCACTATAGGTAAAGGAGAAAATGTTTTATAATTGACTGACCCTTTAAGTGGTAGTGCTTTTAGTGTAGGAGAGGTCAAAGCTAATGGGTTCTTCTGACCTTGTGAATACATCTGTATAGTCAGTGGGTGATAAAGTTAGAAGCAATATTCATGACACATTTTGGACCCTCCTACACTGAATGTAACCTACAATACAAACTTTTAAACGTACATTATACTGGAGAACATTATTTTGGGAAATGTAAGATCAGTAAAACCTTTATCTTGATAATTGAAAGCAAACCCAAAGGCACGCTTTAAGAAAAAATACTTGTTTAGGTGAGAAAATTGTTGATTTATTAGTCTATGTTGTGCAATTCTTGTCTTCCTTTATTTGACCTGTTGAGCCCCAAGCCTGTTTTTCAGGTCTCAGGCTCGAAAATGACATTCTCAGAACAAATGACTATATGTTCACTTTTAAAAGGGGTAAATTAATAATATTTTTTCTCCAAGCAATGATACACCTGTGAGTCGGATGTAGACGAGTCAGAATCAAGATACTGTAGATGTTTTTATTTTAAAGTAAATTCAGATTGAACATAGTAAAACATTTTCAATTATAGCTTCCGTCCAAAAATAAACCATTACTTACAGTGAAAACCAGTGACTGGCTCACTTCGGTACCGGCCCATCGGGATTCGCCCCAAACGTCCCGATGGGCCGGTACCGCAGTGGGCCGGTCTGACGTTGTGGCCTGATCAGATAAGTCACTAGCACCCCCACCCCCATTTATAATTTACTAGCGGTAGTTACTAGCGGTAGTTACTAGCGGTAGTTACTAGCGGTACCGAAGAGGGCAGGTCGAGAGTCCCGGGCTGATTTTTAGTCCCAGTCCGCCCCTGGTGAAAACCAGCCTTGATTGATGGGATAGTAGACAGAAAGCTTTAAGAATCCAAACTATAACATATAACAAGTACCCTGTATCAAGATTGATGCAGAAAAAGGGAAATTTGACCCTTCTGGGGTCATTTTGGTATATTTGCCATATCTCTGGAACCCATCAGTCGATCTTGGTGATTGACACCACTTTTGAACCGTTAGAGCCAATAAAACTGATGGGACGTTCCTAAATCCATCTAAACATTACCATTGGTGAATGAGAGGATGCGCAGCCAGCATGCCAAAAACCGGAAGCTGGGTTGTATCTCTCGTAGACTCTATATGAAAACTCTGGTTATTGACATACATTTTATGATGGATTATCAGTAATCATTTCAAAGTGACACAGAGATTAACCTTCAGCAGCGTTTTTATGCGTTTTAATGCGTTTTAATGCGTTTTAATGCCATTGAACACAACTTTTTATCAGAAAACAGGTAAGACCTATTTGCCGTTTTGGTCCCGTAAAGCTAAGTTGTGTGATGTCTGGTTTCGCCTTTGCTGCCGCTTTCATATGATATCTTGTTTGTGCAGATCCGATGAAGTAAACAATATTTCTACTGTGAGTTATGTGCTAAGTGTGTTAGCACTCTTTCGCTTAGTGCTAATTCAGACGCTTGTCTTGTCTTGTGTTATGTTTCGGTACAAATTTTTCATATCGTCAGTTAGCTGAGTTTCTTCCCGTTAAAGGTAGGGTAGGTAAGAATGGAGAAACCAGCTCGAGTGCGCTAGAATTTGAAAGTACGCAGCCGAAAAAAATCTGCCCCTTCCTTCAGACTTCCTCACACAGCCCCTCCTCCAACACACACAAACGCGCACAGGACCAATGAGGGCACGAGATACATTTGTGCACGAGATGGAAGGCTGACAGGCAGGTAGGCCATCCAGTTATTTAAGCCGGGCCGGCTCAGATGATTGGTCGTGCTTTTTGCAGCACCACGGCTTCCACAGATTAAATATTTGTTTGTATTTATTGTCAAAGCATTTAATGTATTCATTGCTATCGAGATGTTAAGAGCATTCCATGGAATATAACAACAAGTGTTTCTGAAGTGAATTACCTACCTTTAAGTGGGTATGACACATGAATAGGTTGTTAAATGTTAAGAAGCCCTGAGACACAGTTTCGTTAGGCCCCGTAGCCCCCGCCGGCCTTAACAGGTTTTAATGAGCTGGACATATGAAGTACAGCCTGCTTAACTTAGAAGTCCTTAATGTTGCTCATATCTCTTATCAGGGGTCTCTGGGTGGGTGCAGGAAGTGACAGGAAGTTATGTTAGAACAGAAACAATGGGTGGGATTCTTATAAGCTACTAAGGCAACGCACTTTAAATAGAAAACAAGTTGCCAATTTATTAGACTTCCGAAATGTTCCCAATCATAATTAATGTTTGAGTTGACGGCTGAAGTATAAGCTTAAAGTGGAAAGCTGAAAACACAGAAACAACATATTTGCTTTGAAATATTGTGAATATCTCCCCATGTAAAGAAATTATCATATAGAAAAATTACAAATATTTAATATTTACAGGGTTTTAATATTGTAAATGATTATAGGTGTAGAAAACACAGGACCGCCACGGATGATGGAAATAAATGTCTTTCACACAACAATAAAATCAAGTTGAGGACCCAATATGTTGACACACAAACGCTGCAAATGAATAAAAGAAAACAAAAACAAAGTCATTTGCAACTAGACAGTAGAAAAAAGCTACTACAAAAAGTATAAAGGACAGGAAAAAATCAAGGGCGAAAACTATCATCAACTTTTTTGCATTTATCCATTTATTTTTCTCTATACTGTTTTATGTTGCTAATCTACGGAGCCCTGGAGGGTTCATAGAGAGAAAAATAAATAAAACGTGGCCACGTTTTACTTTCTCGTGCGCACCAGTTAATAAAGCGTGCCCACGAGTTAATAAAGCGTGGCCTCGTTTTGTGTGTTTGTGTGTGTGTGTGTGTGTGTGTGTGTGTGTGGGNTATTAACTCGTGCGCACGAGTTACTAAAGGGTTCGCAGATGTTACTAAAGCGTGCGCACGAGTTACTAAAGCGTGCGCACAAGTTAATAAAGCGTGGCCTCGTTTTGTGTGTGTGTGTGAGTAAGTGAGCATTTGTTTATGATAGTATCGTTCGTTCCGGTGCACTCCGGCAGGACTATAGCACATCGAGATTAAAATTAAACGAATTTCTTTCACTTGGGAATAGAAATATAACTATGGAGAACCAGATTTGTTCGCGGTACTTTGAAAACTTACTGTTCGCGGTAATTTGAAAACAAATGCTGGTGGTGTCGGACACACACAAACACACCGAACACGCACACAGAGCGGAGCTGAGCACACACACACACACGCACACGCACACGCACACGCACACACACACACACACACACACACACACACACACACACACACACACACACACACACACACACAATGCGCCCCGGTGACATCTCCTTCATAAAACGAGGGGGAATACTCTGGTAGTTCGATGTGTGTATAGGTATATGTGGTTAAACGTAGCAGCCTCGATCTCTATTCAGCTGTTCTAATGAAGGGAAACGCAGTCAAGTAAATAGTAAAAGGCACAGGTCTTTGCAGCTGGTGCTGCTCTTCTCAGATTCTGCTGAGTTACACGTTACTGCCTCCAGAGCCCTGTACGCCGAAGCCAGTTCAACAGACACTGGATATGTTCGATTTACCCGGCTTAATAGCCCTAACAAACGCGATGTCGATAAGCGGTCCTACGAAGCTGGTTATCAACTCAGTAAATCAACCANACTCTTAGACGACGTCTGTTAATGATGACACGCGAACAGCTGTATCCCCTCTCATCGGGCTTAACTGAATAACCCCTTAGAACCGGGCCATTTCTGGTTAAATATTTATTTAAATGAATGAATATTTCTCTTGTTAGTCAAGGAATTCAATGTATGATGGGTCCTGCTTTTGTGTTCCGTTTTGGTGTAAAATGTAGCCTACATTTAAATACAAATATAATTATAGTAATGTGAAGCCTTTTAGAAATGAATTGCACATAATAATTCCCACGGAGCTGTGAGCACTTATACATGTATGTGACGCTTTTCCACTCATCTTCCAGTTGTCGGTTTTCCTCTGTTGAAATCGACCAGCTGTGAAGGTGGGGGCACTTGGTGGTGAAAACACTTCCACGTAGTCTGCTCGCGTGTATCCTCCCTTTCGTCTCCTCCCGCACCCCTCCTCCGTGTGCATTTCAGCTATTGGGACGTCCTTCAAAACGGCGTGCCTTGATCGATTTCTGGGTCAAGTCCCGGAGGAGGGGAAGAGAGGAGTCGAGGAGGGGTATTGGGATGAGGCTACAGTCGGATGGGTAAACAAAACGTCCCCGTTTTCCAGGCAAAGTCCCCGTTTCCGGTGGCCGGTATCCGGTTGAAACTCACGAAAATGTTCCCGTTTTTGAATGCGCGTTAAAAAACAGAGCAAGGTGAAATAAAATGTTACATGTCAGAAAAACAGAGTAACAGTGTTGTGCCTTTTTGTAGCGTTAGCGTATTTCTACCTCTACTACTTCTTCTTCTACCTCTACTCCTTCTTCTTCTTCTTCCAATTTAATGTACCTGCCCGCGAGATATTGGACAAAAGAAACTCGGCTAGTAGGTGTCAACTAAATCCATAGTATTACAACAAAAGTGCTTTAAACGAGGTAAATTAGGAATGTATGTTCTCAATCGCCAAGTATGGGATTGAATATTACATTAGTTTAGATTAGATTTATTGTCCCCAGGGGGAAATTCATTTGCACAGCTCTGTTGTGGTAATCTGTATTATATAAACCGTATTGGTACAATGAGCGACATCTAGTGGCGGATTGTGGAACATTGATTTGATTGTTCTCATGGCAGTTAGACTCTAGAGACAAACCAGGGGACTTCACTTTAATCTGCGTCTATCCATTTGGTGTAGTGTTTTATCCAATATTACATTTGGTCACTTTCTTATGAAATGCCAGGTTTTAGGCCTTGGTCTGAACATTCAATCCTGGAAATAAAAAATCAACCAGATACATTTTTCTAGATAGATAGTAAGTAACATNATTACATTTGGTCACTTTCTTATGAAATGCCAGGTTTTAGGCCTTGGTCTGAACATTCAATCCTGGAAATAAAAAATCAACCAGATACATTTTTCTAGATAGATAGTAAGTACTGTAAGTAACATCTGTATAGGAAGACGAGTTAAGGGATAGAGGAGAAAAGGTTATGATATAATTACAGAGCCAATTTATAAATGGAGGAAATCAATGTTAGTCTGTTAACCAAAGTGCAGCCATCTGATAATGTACTATCTGTTATTAAAGATCAGAGGAAAAGAACAGAACGAGAGGGGTAAATCTGGAATAAAAATAAAGAAGCGACAATATTGTGAGCAGTGAGAAGGAAAAAAGCTTGGTATGTCAATTCATTACATTGCCAGTATTTTTCGTTGTTGTGAGAAAAAAAAGTCGCCCCCTTGGATTCTTTAACAGCCCCCTCAGTCATTTCATCCTGGAGCCGGGCCTGACACACACACACACACACACACACACACACACACACACACACACACACACACACACACACACACACACAATGCGCCCCGGTGACATTCATAAAACGAGGGGGAATACTCTGGTAGTTCGATGTGTGTATAGGTATATGTGGTTAAACGTAGCAGCCTCGAT